TGCCAAAAACAAATTTTATGAAAACTTGCTACAGATTTTGTTGACAAAACGAATGCAAATTTGTTACAAGATTTGTTTTATCCGATGATGTCACCAAAATGCCAGCAGATATGTAACAAAATCTGCTGACATAATTTGATAGCAAATTGAAATCTAAAACCGAGCAAAGCTTGCTGACATGACTAACATTAGATTGTCGGCAGAAACTGAGCAAGATCTGGCGTGCAGAATCTGACGGCAGATTGGCAGCAAAAACTGAACAGAATCTGCAAATTAACTATTATTTAAGATAGTATAGTTCAGTTGCTTACCGCTGCGCGGCGCGTTATTTACTATCTATACCCGTATTCAAGTTTTTGTCATAAGTGTATATAAAGTCTGCAAAATGCCGCTAATAATATTGTAATATATCTATTTTTATCAATTCAATTTTTGACACGATTCCCATACAGGGAATTCGGATATTGAACTAATTTTTGAAAAATCGGATCAATAATTGTTCGATTTTCATTTATCCGGATAATTTCTATCCGAAAAAATCTTTAATATAATAAATTAAATTATTTAAATTTACCTATATGTTTTAACATATTAATATATGTTATTATTATATATTAATACTGTAATTGGTCTTATTTTTACCGTTAAAAGAACATCAGAAAATGATTTTCCGTGAATGTAATATATGACATCATTTTCGGGTCTCATGAGAGCTAACTTAGAATGTCTAATTGATTATTTCGTGACCATAATTTATCTTCACTTTGCTATTTAGGATTGAGATTTTAAATCCATTCTAAATTCATTTAAATGCGCCATTTTATATGAATGGCCAAAAGTTGCAGATTCTGCTCGGTTTTTGCTACCAATCTGCCGTCAGTTTGCGCGCGCGCAGATCCTGCTCGGTTTCTGCTGCCAATCTGCTCTCAGATTCTGTGAGCAGGCTCCGCTGGCAGATCATTAGCCTAATGCGGACATAACAGATGCCAAATTGCTAGCAAGAGCTGAGGAAACCTGTGCGCCAATCTGCTGGCATATTGCGTGAATTTTGCTTACTGGGTTATTTTATATAAATGGCTAAAAGCTGCTAGTCCAGGCGCCAGAGAGTTTTTGGCTGCAAAATTCTACGCAAATGATTTTCTTTTTGGAAATTGTTCAGGGGTGCCCCCTGAGCGTAAATGCAAGTTGGCGCGGCGGGGGGGGGGTATGCTTTAGCCGCCATCTTGGAAATTAGTTTTCGCCAAATATCTCATAAATGATTGATCCTACGACAAAAATAGTCATAACCATTTTTGTAGAGAACAAAGTTCACCATCTCTTTTATTTGAAAGTTTTTTCTGTGGGATGGATATTTTTCGAGCTATAGCGCGTCAAAGTTTTGTGAAAATGGGTTTTGCAAAATATCTCGTTAATGATAAATCGCACACTAAAAATAGTCATTATCAATCTTGTAGAGCATAAAATTCTCTACAAATTTTATATTAAACTTTTTTTCATAGGAATAATAGTTTTTGATCTATAGCGCGGCAAATGCCGAATCGACGCGTAGTTGCCATGAGTGATAATATTCTATATGAAACATTGAAATGCGAGCAATGCAAGGTCATAGAACCACAATACCGTGTTTTTTTTTTACATCTGCCGCATCCATTTTGCAGTGAATACACAAGAAAAATGAACGCTTGTTTTATCTGTGGCAAAACTTTAAGTGAAGAAAATGTTGTTGAAGTGAAGGAACGGGGTATACAGACACTTTTAGTGGCCAGTGTGAAGAGACAAGAAAAACAACATGAGCTCCTGTTGACAGACTTAGACCACATAAAGTAATAAAAAAGTCGATTAAGTGCATAGAGAGACTCGTGCATAGAAAGTTCCGCACTCTGTCCACGATAGGAGATAAAAATGTATTTTTGACGCGCTGTAGCTCAAAAAATATCCACCCTACAAAAAAAAGTTTAAAATAAAAAAGGTGGGTTTTGTTTTCTACAAAAATGGTTATAACTATTTTTGTCGTAGGATTAACCGTTTATGAGATATTTGGCGAAAACTAATTTCCAGGATGGTGGCTAAAGCATAACCCCCCCCCCCACGCCGCGCCAACTTGCATTTACGCTCAGGGGGCACCCCTAAACAATTCCCAAAAGGAAAATCATTTGCGTAGAATTATGCATTATGAACCTATGTTTTTGTCTCTGGCGCCTGGACTATGCAGATTTTGTTCAGTTTTTACTGCCAATCTGGCGTGAGATTGCCCTGCGCAGATCTTGCTCGATTTTTGCCGCCAATTTGACATCAAGTCATGTCAGCAAGCTTTGTTCGGTTTTTGCCATCAATTTGCTGTCAGGTTATGTTCACAGGCTTTGCTGGCAAAACATGAGCTTATTGCGGACACAGATGGCACCGGATTTGTTACCAAGTTTTGACCGAATTTGATGCCAATTTAGCGACAATTTGCTATCAAATTGCTATCTGAATTAAATTGCTGAAAAAAAATTTTTTGTCTACCAAGAATAACAAGATTTTGTAGAGAAGTCAAAGTAACCGGTTTTGTTATACCGGTAGGGTCAAACCGGGTACCCATTTAAAAATATGCAAAACACCGTGTAATTACAAAATCTAGATTTATTTTAATCAAAATACAATATAAAGATGTATTCTATTGACAAAAATCACAAATAAAGATATCCTCTTGTTCGACATTGCTGCAGGACTTCCTTATTTAACTTTTTAACTTTAGAGGTCTCAAAAAGCTTTTTTTTAATGGTTTTTTTTTTTTGAGCGTTAGTTTTCGTTTCCAACTGGTTTTTGTAGGGACAGAAAGTCAGAATAACAGTTCTTCCTCTTTTCATTATATGAAATGTGTAAGTACCCGATTTTGCCCTAACACAAGGAAAGTAATAAATACGGCGGTTGTATATTCCGGCGTACAACATGCCGATCAAAACTAATATGATATACTCTCTAATATGTACAGAATGCAATGCTGCACTTACCGAAACCGATGCTCTAAATAGAAAAAGTGCACGACGATTCGATTCTTGCCTCGATATCTATCTTTTTAGGGCTAAAAACTTTGAACTTCTATTAAAAAAGAAATATCATGTGCACCGGGGCACGGTTTGTTTTAAAATAATAATGGCACCAATCTACAACTAATAACACAAGTTAGCCATAGATAGCAGCATTTATTACAAAAAAAAAACAAGGATACTCTGTTTGACCCGCCTACCCGATTTTACCCAACTTTCTACTACTTAGACTATAATTGCTCATTAAATTGTGTTAAACATACAAAATATGTTAATCACAATTAGAATGCTATTTTATTGCACTTTATAAATATATCTAGCATCATTATATATTTATTTATAGGTAATTATATGGGAGAAGAGCTTATCAATCATAATAATTTCATATATTCCACCACGTAAGAAACAATTTTATATGTTGTTTGCAATTGTATGTACATAATAATATATGTATATGTATATTTATCATATTTTTCAAAGGTACAATATTCGATGGTATATGCCGCCATTACACGTACAGAAAATGATACTTTTTATTTTGCAAAGAGGCAGTCAAGCTTTCCATCCAAATATTGCCGGACTGTTTGCACTATCACTAAAAAGTTTCGCTATAGTAAGAATTATTACATGTCATAAATTGAAATATTTACAGCACATTTAGCATGTTTCATGTTGCAACCTAAGAGATGTATTTCATTATTACAGCTAATAAAAGCATCGATGTCTTATTTCACCGTTTTATGTTCTATGCAGCAATGATGCGAAGACATATTATCTGATCAAAATGGGCCTGATAATATTTCTGACGTTTAAAATAGTAAAATGTAGAATTATTAAAATTAATAGTTAAAATGCCACTTTAATAAATTCTGCATAAATTTAATTATACATCCTAATCAGCGTTTTGTTTTTTGATTGTTGCACTATTTAAATAATTAAGAAATCGCAAATTTACAATAATTTATTTTCATATAATAGATGCCTATTTTATATTATAAAATATGTACATCAAGTGGGATGTGTCCTGAGAAAGTATGAAACAAAATGAATAATATATTATAGAATATTATAAAATTAATTTTTTTACAAATGTACAGAATTAATTTGTATATTTTCGAACGAGTACAATAACATTAATTTCTGCTTCATATAAAACGGTAAGTGATATATTACAGGAAATCTAGTAGCGTTAAATGTAGATAGAATATGAATTAATAAAACAGCATGCATGTGTATTTTAATTAAGAAAAACGATTATCCAGTTTTGCTTAATATAAAATGTAGAAAGCTCTGAATCACAGTTCGGTACCTTATATATTGATGGCAATTAGTTTTATAATTTGCCAGCGCACGTAAGGCGGATCGACTCTGTTCCTTTATACTTTAGAAAGACAAACTCCTTCCACGAGCGCACGCACAAGAATGAAGCACATGAAACTGTATTGCTTGAAAAAAGAGCGATTGCGCTTGCGCCGATCGATAAGGTACGTGATGATTGTATGTTTCTCTGTATGAAATACTCATTTCTTTAATTTCTCTTTCTCTCTCTCTCTCTCTCTCTCTCTCTTTATATGTAAAATTGATCGCTTAATCACCACTTCACAAAATTGTTAAATTACAAAAGTTTCGTTTCCACATTATTGTGTGCAGTTTGATATTTATTATGAATTAGATAATTTATGACAAAATTTATTCTAAAAATACGGTATGAATTCAAGAATACTTTATTTGAAGAAGAAAAAGGAAGGGATAGAGGCGAATCTTTATTAATTTCTCCGCAGTCCAGTTTCTATGCTAGTACAGTAATGATATGCGTGAAGTCTCAACATTTTGATCTTAATCGGATCCTGTTACTTGCAATCGGCTTATGGCCATATCAAAAATCAAAATTTAGTCAACTTCAAGCAACTTTGTGTTTTGGTATTTTGACAAGCTTTGTTGTATTTCAGGTATATCCATATTTATTCTTATTATTATAGAATATGCATTATAAACATCATCACTAATTATAGGAGAGGCAATTTAATATAAACCAAATTTTTTTCCATAACTTTCTATTGAATTAAAATATTTCCAACGCACACCCAAATCATTTTTCTACATAATTTCCGCTAGCATCTAAGCATTTTTGCAAACGGGTTGACAATTCTTTTATTTTTGTGTCATAAAAAGTAGTAGGGCGGCACGATTACGATAACTACGGTCCCCTATTTGAAAGGTCGTTTCTGAAAGCATTTTTGAAGAGAAACACGAGAAAAACAGTAAAAAAATTTTCCGACCAATAGTTTTCGAGATATATCACTTTAAAGTATTGGACATGATAATAAAACTTTATAAAAACGGACCCAACGATGTTCACCTTGACATATGTTGTCATGATCATGATCCTGAGTAACTTTTCCTTATAACTTAATCGGTGTAGATATTTATAAGATCTCGTATTGCGGACATTTGGATATTTAAAGCATGTCTAATAGCTGTTTCCTATATATTCATGGATATCCTACTCCTAATACACATTGAGAACATCCAGTAGATATCTAATATACATTAATTTCTGTACGAGAGGATTAAAACTAAACAAAAGATATATTCCATACATTGTATCTTACGGTAAATATAGCGAATAGGGGACCCAACCCTAATGACCTTGACCTTGACATATGTTGTGAAGATCACTGTAGCGAGTATCTTCCATGTGTAGCTTAGAATCGTATGTACTACCAATGTCTTGTGTTGTTTACGTTTTTTGAACATAAACACAAAATTCTCATTGCTCTTACTATTAGTAATTGTGGAGTGGACCTCGCTTCGCGTTGTAAAGTATATGCGTGGACGCAGTGGGTTCCGCCCCCCCCTACGGGGGGCCCAACTTCCGAAAGATATAACCTAACCCAAACCTATTTCTGATTTAAAACTAAAATTTGGTTTGGGTTACGTTATATAACTCAAACCAAATTTTTGTTTCAAATTAAACTTTAATTTTAAATATCTCAAAAATTATAAGAGACCGCCGATTAAGTTATAAGGAAAAGTTACTCAGGATCATGATCATGACAACATATGTCAAGGTGAACATCGTTGGCTCCGTTTTTATAAAGTTTTATTATCATGTCCACCACTTTAAAAGGGTAAATATAGCGAATAGGGGACCAAGCCCCAATGACCTTGACCTTGACATATGTTATCAAGGACATAATTCTGAATAACTTTTTCTTCTAATTTAATCGTCGCTCGTTGCTTATTAAAAAGTTATTAACAAAAAAAGTTTGAAATATACCAAAGTACATGCACGGGGCAGATCGCGGAAATATTGCTTTATGTTTACATTTGAATATCTTCCCTCAATGTTTATACTATTTCATGTTCATTTTTTATTATTTTCTGTACTAGTGAATTCTTATAATGACACAGTCTTGTTTAATTCTTCCAAGCGTAAAGTTCTTACTTTTCAATATATTAGTACAAATAATAGTGCATTTCGTTAATAATACAATGCATTTGCACGAATTTCTTCATTTAACATATAATTATGATGCTCTAATACAGTATCTTATTGATAAACAAGTTATTCGTGATAATATTCAATGTCCAAAATGTAGAAATATTATAACTTATACAAATATATTTAAAAGCTTTATCATGCATTGCACTAATAAATATTATAAGACTATATCTGGACGAAAAAGACAACGGATAACATGCAACTTTAAAATAAGTATGTTGAATAACACTTGGTTTTCTAAAACTCATTTGGATATGGTAAAAATTTGTCGGTTTATTGGATATTTT